GACTGAGTGATTTGATCTCAGGGAAATTGGAAGTGAATGGGATCCCTCCAGGAAAGCACCAATGTCCTGCCCCAGGTTTCTCCAGATTTGCAGAGCCTCTTGTTCCCCTGAGTTTCTGTATAAACCAGCTTCTGTGCTAAAACTTGTCCGCATAGTTTTGCCAACATGATCGTCCYGTCCCTCAGTGCCATCTGTGAACGCTGCTCTCTTGAGGAACAAAACACCWTGTACATTCAGACTGTGTTAGATTAACGAAGGTCCCCAATCTGCCAGTCTGTTTCTCTGCATTAATTCCTATGGAAAATGTATCTTAGTTGTGCTACTGTAGAAATGTGGTACCCTGAGAGAGACTCCTTCATGTCTGCAGTTATGCAGTGTAGTGGTAACTGCGTTATGCTTATGGTGAGGTTGATGGGGAATACAGCTTGCAGCTTGGCCCCTACTCTGCTGTTCTCTCTTTTGGGGCCCTACTTGGACACCCTGCTCAAGCTGCGGCCCTGGGCAGCCAACTCCAGCATGTTGCTGTTGTCTGAATTACAGTAGTCAAATATGTTATGTGGTCTGAAACAGAAGGTTATTCTTAAATGTATTACTGTGTCTGCCTTTAATTAAAAGAACAAAACCAAAATCCAACAAAACAAAACAAAAAAAMMMCAAAACCAAAATAAAACAAAAAAGCCAACCAAAACTAACCAACCAACCAACAAAACCCTAAACAAAAACACAACGAAAAAGCGAACTTGGCTGTATTCAGGAGGTGACCTATAGCTTCCACRGCATTCCACCTTACATTTGCTTCTGTTCTAACCAGTGCATGTTTTCCTACGTGGCATTTGACATAAGCAACTTTTTCTCCACAGCTGTGCTGTCTCCCTGTTGCTTGTTCTATCCATGTCTTATCTCCTTATCCCTGTATGTTGGTCCTGTCCAGTGCAAGTTCTTGATTCCACTGAATTTGTGCATGTCCTGTGGAGCAGACTCTGGACAGCAGGAATAAATGGTCAGCTGGCTGGTGGTTTCTTATGACTTGGTAAGGCAGTGACATCTGACAGGTGGACCATGAATCACACACCTTGTTTGAATGTCAGATGAAGTACATTTGGGGTCTTTTCCCAACAGTTTTTCTGAAACAAAACTTATSTTGTGGTGTTGGAACTCTGAGGAGCTGCCAGCTCTGTCCCAACTCAGGGGGTGTGTGGATGGAGCTGACACTGTGGCAGGATCCAGGCTTACCCATGGCACTGCAGCTTGCAAGCGCTTCTTGCCCACTCATCCTCTTGCTGATGAATGTTGTGACCTTGGAAGAGCTGTCTTTTGGGTCATCCCAGTTTTTGGCATAAGCTAGGGGATGCAAGCATTGTTGSATCTGTTGGCCATTGTATTCTCACMGGCCCTGGGCAGAATCTTACAGGAAGGGCAGGTTAGGGGACTTGGCATTAATAGTTGTGTTACTCATCACGACTTGTTTGTAGAGCCATTTCATTAGTAGTTGGACAGGGCATCATCTGTTATTTCTTGTTTATAGTAGTAATTGATCCTGGTGATGTTCTTAGCACACTGTGTGTTGTTACCACCTGTAGAGGTTTGAAATGAGAGACACAAATTGATGGCCTGCTCGCTGTTGTTCAGAAGGTGTGGAATTATATCGAGGGTAGCTTAAGCATGGCATTTGGATTGTGAATTGGTGAGTTCTGCATTACCTCAGAGGCATCGTGTTAAAAGAGAAGTTAATAGAAAGTCTGACTGTTTTCAGAATGTCAGATGATTTGTTATAACTGGCTATTTGTGTGTGCTGGAAGCATTAGCTTGCTGAATGAATTCTTATGTGTGTGTATATATGGGATAAATTCTGGTTAAAATTGCAGYGATACAGCAGTGGCCACAGCAGACTCTGTGGTTCCTGTCCTAATGGCATAAACTACTGCAAAGCCTGAGCTTGAGCATGATTTGTTAGTGGCTCATGTCTCCTGGCAGAGTAGAGCTCTCTTTGATGAGAGAGAGAGAGAGGAAATTACTAGTATTGATCAGATTTGTTCTTCGGCTTTTCATTACGCTTGTGCAAAAGCCTTAGAAATTGATCAGATCAGAGTTACGTGCTCAATTCCTGTGAATGTTAACGCTGGTGCTTGGGGYTGTGGTATCCTTGTCTGGAGTTTGCCCTGGGATTTTTGCACCCAGATTCAGGACTTGAAGATACATTGCTCCTAGGTTGAGGGGAAGAATCAAATTAGTTTTGTCCCTGGTAGTGTGTCTGCATTTCTCTTTGTGGTGGGAAGTATTAACTTCACATCCTAACAGACTATCCAGTGGCCTTTTCTGTTTACAAGGGGAAGGAAAAGGTATCTTTTAGGATCCATTGCAGTTGGGTAATAGGACATAAAGTAGCATAGTGTCAAAAGACAGAGTTTGATTAAGGCAAAAGACAGAGTTTGATTAAGGCAATTATGTCTGATTTTATGACAATATTTTGTCTTCATGTGGAAAAATAAAATAGGAACTAACTCATGCCAATGATGTGATTCATCTGGGTTTTCTTCTTCCTCATTGCATGTGGGCAGCTTCTAGTAATGTTAGCGGAAAATATGAAGTATGAGGAATAATTTTTTGTTTAAGCAATTCCACCTTGGCTGTTGGAATCACAGTGGTCTTGTAGGGACACAGCACTGTATCTGGGCAGTACTAGCAGACTGAGGAATATCCTGAGTATTTTTGAGTGTAGCAGTGCATTTTGATCAGATGTAGTATTTTAYTGAGGAACAATCTAGTTGGGAGAACTGTGATGACACTTCTACTGGGTGCTGTCAGTGGATYCTGTGTCWGATCTTCTCATCTCTGCTAACTGTGGATGCAGCCTCTTCCTTCCCTATGCCTCTTATTGCTCCCAAATTACCAGACGTAGGTTATGAGGTTTTTTTAATGCAGTGAACGATCTTTCTGATGAATGGAATACAAAATGTGGTGTTGCATTGAAAATGTACAAATGATGGGGAATTAATTTTCATGTATTTGATTTTATGTCCTCAGCCTCCTAATTGTCTGATTAAATAATTCTTAATAGCAATTTTACATGGTTGGGAACCTTCTGGATTGGTAGAGATATTAGATACACTTYTGCCTAAGAAAGAACAACAATTTCATATTCTAATTCTTGCTGAAATTAAGGTATTGAAATTCAGCTTTTGCACAGTTACTGAATTGTGGTGTTTTACTCTTTTATGAGTAAAAGTGAGTCCTTAAAATATTTTCTGGTACAGTTGCAGAGACCTGTGTGATGCATTCAGCCCTTCTAGCAATTGAACTGTGTAACTTGTTTAGCTTTTGTGGATCCCTTAGAAAGCACTTGGTGGCCCGCTGGGTCTGGGAATCATTCACTGAAAACTACCAGGATCCAGAGGAGCTCTGGCTCACAGACCATTAGTCAGGATCTGTGATGAAAAGACATTAAATAAGGAATCTTTTTGTATGGAGTACCTGTAGGTTTGACTTAGCAGCATAGGTGCTGGATATGGGTTTACGTAACTTTGTCATGAGGATGCATGATGCCTCTCTTAACATCTTGGACATGCTATGGATTCCTGGTTTTGKGGTTTATCATTGGGAATCAGTTGCAAGGTGACCACTGAGCTCCAGCTTGAGCAGGATTTGTGTGCCTTGTTTTGCCTCGGGGTTTCTGGCAATTCCATCTCGATGGTTATAATTAATTATAAGCCTATTTCACATTTATTTTCCTGAGTTTTCTCAGAAGTCCATACCCTTTAGCTGGTATGACTGCAGCACCATCTCTGATATCACTGAATGGTTCATACTGGGTGGTATTTTCGGGCACTGCTATGATGTACTGCACCAACATGGGGTTAGTTACTCTGTTGTTTTGCTGATAGCTGATTTGAAAAGCACTCCTTTTTTTTTTTTTAAGTATGGCTGAAGGTTACAGGGGATTAAGGAACTCTTAAACGTTGCAATCAGATTACGGACTAGCACTATCTACTGTGATTTAAAATTATTTTTTAAAGGAAATTTAATATAGATAGCAATAAAATTTGATCAGCATTACAAAGATTGGATTCCTGTCTTTATTGCTCCTTCTGCCTAARTTTCTGACTTTTTTTWTTTTTTATTTTTGCTTTGCATAACTCCTTACTTCATAGTACTRTCTTAAGGCCCAYATATAYATTCTTTCCAGGACRTAATATTCTGATTCTGTCTAGATTYTGACTTTTCTTAAACCACATGAATTGTATATCAGTGAAGATGAAGAACATACTTACCAAAATTTAGCATCATACTTACTAAAATTTAGCATTTACTAAAATACGGTTTAGAATTGCTTACATGAGCTACTACTGTTGAGAAATCTGGAAATTTCCATCTAAATACAGAAGCTAAACAATTATTAAAGCTTTTGAGTGAACTGATGTGAATTGGCTTTCTGTTAATTTCTTCATGGGGTTTGTAATTTCTTAAGGGCTTGAAGCAGGAATGGCCAGTTTTCAGGCTTAGCTGAAGTGTCCACCAAGTGGTGTATTGTTAGCCAGTTTATTGGTCTAGCYAAATTAATGTAATTATACCAAATTACTGCTGAACTTTCTGTGGTTTAAGCCTTTGGATTTCAGTCTTGCTTTTAACAAAAGCTTTCTACCTTTTTTTGTGCTTTTGCAAATTAATTAAATATTGAATCCTTACATCTAATTCTAAATGCTAAGATCCTGTATCTGACTATTCATTTTATTAGTCTCCCACCATCACCCACCATATCTACACAAAATTTCTTCCTCTGCTCTCAACAGTGGGGAAAAATAGCTTTAAATATGGGTAGTGTCTTTAGCCTTCAAGTTATTTTCTAACTTCCTGGTTTGGGGGKTTTTTTTCAGTGTCTGTGCCTATTTAGGATATTCCTTTATCTGTCAAAGTAGTGTTTAATTGCTGTAAATATGAAGCTTCTTGTTTTTAATGTGTTTWGAACAGCTGTTACAACAAGGTTTTTTATTATTATTTTATAGGCAAATTTAGAAAACAAACCAGTAAATGGCCGCAGACCAGAACTCATGGAATGCAGTATATGTGGTCATGGTGAAAAATACAGGGTGAAGACAAACCAAGCAGTAGCCATTGAAAATGTGCAGTCTAAGGAGAAAGAGAGAATGACTGGATTAGAAGCAGAGAAGTGGGCACATAACGAGAAGCCATCTTTTGGTGTCCATGTCAATGGTGACATCCATGGAGCTGTGACAGGCACCGAACACTTGAAACATGCTGACCACAGTGAAAGAGCAGCCTCTCCCAGTCAGTTCGCTGAGCCAAAAAAACCCTTTGCACATACCATCAAAAATGGCATAAAAACCCTGCATTATTCACCACCAGAAGCAGCTACTTCACTGAAAAATGTATCTGTAGAGGAAAGGACAGATTTGACAAGCAACTCCCACATGCAATGGCCTAAGGGTACCAATCTGAATAACATAGTAAGCACTCTGACGACTGGCCCTGGCTGTGTTCACCCAGAAAACCAAGGAAATGTTGTAATGAAAGAGGAAAACTGCACTTGCAGCATCTCTGAGTATTATGATAAGTCCGTTTTGCAGACAGGTTCCATCTTGGATCTACAGGAARGCTTGTGTTGTCCTCCACTGCCTGAAGAGGAGCTGCAGGCAGGGAAGGATGGCTTTGAAGTACCTAATGTGGAGACACAGCTTGAGAATTCTGCACTCCAGCCAACTTTCTTGTCCCTGATTAAAAACAGAAATTTAACTCTGGAGCAGGTTGTAGCTATTGAAGCTTTAACACAGTTGTCTGAAGCTCCTTTAGAAACAACTTCACCAGCTAAAACTGAAAGTATTGAATGTACRAGGGAAACAACTTCCAACTTGCTCCCTAGTTTTAAAAGGGATATCTCGTCCTCCTTCACATCCTCTGCATTAAAAGAAATCAAAGACACTTACTTACAAAATGAGCAACAGCTCTTGGCTCACTGCACACACTCGCAGAAGCAGCTCCCTAATAAGGCAGTGTTATACAATGGCCAAAGTTTGGTGTCTGAATTGTGTGATAAACCTGCCAGTCTGGCTGGGGAGATGTATAAATTACAGTTATCCTCAGGAGATACCAAAACTTTATCTGACTTAACATCTAATGCAACATCATTTTCAGGATATGATTCCAAGAAAAGTGGTGCTCATGAACCAGTCCCCMTTGCAGGGTATTGCAATGCTTCGTGCAATGTCCAGCAAACAAGGAATGACTTGGAAGCTCCTGGCCAGTTAGAGCAAAAGCCAGCATATAATGATTTGAAATTGGAAGGTCGTTCTTTGATTAGAGAAGGAGGAATTCATAGCCAGGATGAAGAGGATGTAGCTGCACAACTAACTCAGCTTGCAGCTCTGATTGAATCAAACCAAACAAATTCAGAGCAGAAGAGCGACATAAAGACATCACTGCTTAATCTAATATCCCATGAGAGGCAGCCTAACCAAGATGTGTTGCAGAAAAAAGAATCTGTATTTTTTAGGCATAATTATAGTTCCTTGCTGTTAAAGCAAAAGCAAGCAACAAATAAGAAAGGAAATGCTGTGCCATGGAAACCAAGACACAAAAAGAAGCCTCAAGAAGCACGCTATCAACACAATAATCAAAACCAGCCAGAGCTGTTGTCATGCCAGCATAGTGAATTGCAGGACATTTGGATATCATCAAAACTGCACAAGCTTGGTCAAACCATGCCACAGGACTCGAGAGTAGCTCCATCTGAAAAAAAATCTCCAAGAACCAAAGTACAGAGAGCACTCAGTCAAAATACTTTAGCATCRCAAGAAAAAACTAGATTATTTCTCCCACAAGCACAGATAAAATTCCACAGATGTTTACCTGAGGCACCGCAGGAGAAAAAAAAAGACAGGTTGTTTGGCTGTGAAGTGGTGAATRAGCAAATGAAAACTGCAGGCTCCAGTGACCCACTAGGCACTGATCCACTGAAAAATGAAATTGTTGCACGTAGCCAGCATAGTGACCTGTCCTCCCGTAATCCTCTGGCTGCTTCACAGCTGAAGACAGCATCCTTGTTGAAAAGACCAACTGAAAACCTACAGATGTTTACAGAAAAATGTAATTCTCAGGTACAGCAAACGGCAAATGTCAGTCAGGTGCATCCTTTACCAACTTTTAACCAGTCTAACCTGAGAGCTAACGAAATGCGTGGTGAAAATGGAGCCTATGTTCAGCAGGTTGATCCCAAGTCACAGGTGCTGCCTTTTCCCAGTGGTGGGGCCCAGGTATCAGGTCCTGCTGAAGCTCTCAGGAATATGGAGTGTGTGGGTGAGGTGACTGTTCTGACATCAACCAATTTGGGTACTGACCACACCCAGAGCACAGGCGACTCAGGGTGTTCCCCAGCAAAAAACACTCTCAGCAGTTTCCTTGAATCACCTATGAAGTTTCTTGATACCCCTACAAAAAATTTAATAGACACACCTACCAAAAAAGGACAATCTGAATTCCCAACTTGTGACTGTGTTGGTAAGTGTTTTTGCTAATTTTTGTCTGTACGTTTCAGATGGAGGTGTGCTTCTTTTAATGTGAGGTGGTGTATATGACAGCTGTTGCAAAAGAATCAGTGTTTCACCATTAGAAGATAGGAGGAAATTCTTTCCCCTGATTGTAACTTTTGCTTGGTATTCTTTGGGCCTGCAAAGCACAGCGGAATTGAGTATTTTTTGTACTGCAGCTGGCAAGTTTAAATCCTCCACTTTAAATTTAAACTTGAAGGAAAGGGAGTTTCTCTGCTTGTTGTTCTGCCATCACTGACCTGTGCTTTATGTGTAATGCAGATAAGTCTGCSTTGTATCAAGTCATGATTTTGATGGTCTAGAACTGGTGGGTGCCTGAGCAGGCTGGGCAAATGTCCCAGTCTATTGTCATTGTTGCCAAAATGTCTCAGACAGGCAGGAGAGCATAGGTGGGGGTGGCCTTGTTCCTGTCACTGTCACTGTCCGGACAGCTGCTGTGGGCTGGCCCGGAGAGAGGAGTGATGTCCAGGGCTCTGGCCATGTGGAGGAGAGCTCAGGTGGAGCTGAGCTGGGCCACTTGTGGAGTCACTCTGTTGYAGCAGGAGGTGTCAGAGCAAACTCTGCACGGAGGGTTGTGCAAACACAGCTTGGCTGAGGGTGTGAGACAATGCTGTGTTGCCACACTACCGAAGCACCCAGATGGAAAGACAAGGCAGAGCTTTTGAAACAAATCGTAGGCAGGCAGATTGTTTCATCTTTGTTTTCATGTTCTGAATCAACAGAGTGCTTGTTAAGAGGCCTGGGTTATGTTTTCTGTTCTGTAGTATATGACTGTAAGTTAATTTGTTTTATTGCCCTCAATTGCCCTTTGTCTRAAATGAATTAATAATGTTGCTACCAACAAGGATATTGGGAATTTTACTTAGTCAATGCATGCCAGCTCCTCTGATGGAAATTTTAAAGAATGCAAAATATGCTGTAATTAGGGTTACTTCATAACWTTAACAAAAATGCTAGCAGAATCATAGGAGGAAATAAGTATAAAATAATTTCAGTGTGTCTGAAGAGAAGAGCCTGTCATACTCTTTACTCATGTTCCAGGGTCAAATTTTATGTGTTCTATTTTAATTTAGAAGGTGTTACTGTAAACTTTCTAAGATTACTTTTAATGGAGTAAATAAATTTTGTGTGTGCCAATGTAGTTTTCTTTRCCTGCTTACAGAGCAAATTATAGAAAAAGATGAAGGCCCCTATTACACACACCTTGGGACAGGACCAAGTGTTGCTGCTGTGAGAGAAATTATGGAGAACAGGTGAGGAAAATTCAGTGTTTAATGCTCACTGTATTTTTGACTATCTAAACAGGGAAGAAGTAGAGCTCTGAGAAATGAAGTGCTGCATTTAGCTTTATTTTGCTGAACTTTTCTCAGTACTCATTTGTAAAGAGTTTTCTTGTTTAGATGTGCATCTGRTGAGTGCGAGCACTTCAGTTCCAAACTCGTGTGCCTTTTCTGAGCTCCTGCAACCTCAGTGTTGAAGTTCACGTGTGGTTGTTCTGAGGTGCCCTTGAAGTCAATAGGAAGAACAGGGATCAGCAGCTGGCAGAATAAAGTTTTCTGGTGTCCTACATGTGRAGAAGCTTTGGCAAACTGGAAAGAAAAAGGCCATTCTAGTGACTGATTGCACTAGCATTTATRTGCATTTTCTTACCCAGATAATATTTCCTTAGTGGCAGAAGTTTATTAAGAGATAAAACTACTCTCGCAAGTACGGTTTTAAATGAAAATGATTTTTTTTGCTTTATAAATACTTAGTTATTCTTCTGTTCTCAGTAGAAACAAATTCATTATTATTTTATTGAAAATGTTTCCTGTTTTAAATTGGTCTACACTAGTTTGTTTCACTTGTGAACATTTTTTAATGCAGGTATGGAGCAAAAGGAAGCGCTGTAAGAATAGAGGTAGTGGTTTATACAGGAAAGGAAGGAAARAGCTCTCAGGGGTGTCCAATTGCCAAGTGGGTAAGTTTTTATGTTAAATCAATATTTTTTTAAGTTATTTTGTATGGCTTCAAATGTTGTGCAGTCCTTGACCTCAAATRTCATCTGATATTTACTGAAGATCTGATTCTTAATTGATTGGAAAAGTCTGCCTAAATGGTGAAATGAAGGAAAACAGTTCTAATGTTTTTTAAATTTTAATTTAAGGTGTGATGCTCTATGTTTTACACTGTGGTTTGAATGAGTGTGAAAGGGAGAGGCTTAACAGAGCTAGCAGTGATGAAGAAGGGTAAAAACGCCCTGACAGTGTCTGAAAGTTGGAGTGTCTTGTGAAATATGTCCCTGGGAATTGTGAAAGAGGAGAAAAGAAGAGATGGTTGCTTGGGGGAGCTGGATAACATTTTTAAAARTCCTTCTCAGTTGCATGACTGCTTGAAGAAAAGAGAGTGGAAGAGTTTCACTCTCATATGCCAAGGGGTTCATTACTATTTTTGAGGAACTGAAGTCAGTATTTGAAAATGTAAATGTTATGATGATAGTTTTCACCAAAGTCTTGTCTCGCATTCCTTCATAGGAGCCAGGAAATGAGGTAACAGACATAAGCTCCAGGAGAGAGCTTGGAAAGAATTGATTGTCCTTAATCTTTGCTGAAACCACTGAGGGAGGTAAAATGTAGACTGGAAATCTTGTAAACTGAGTTTTGGAAAATAATAAAAAAACTTGGTTGTTAAAAGAAAAWAATGTATCGCTATATGTAGGAATTTCAGACTTGATTGAAAATACTGTGAAGGTAACTGTAGTGGGTAGGGTAGTGTTTGTAACTACATGCCCAAAATAAGCTTATTGCATATTCTATGTGAGTGAATTTGCATGTTAAACATTTATTGCTTGAGCTTGGAACAGTCAAAATGTGTTTTTTATACTAAATACATAACCTGTTTTTCAGGAGGGAATCACATATGTGCTTRTGCTTCAGATAATATTTAATAACAAACCTAATAGCCAAGAAAAATAATTGTAAAACTAATTTCATAAACAACTGACCCAAAAAGAATGGAAAGTTTATTCTCACTGTTTCATCTAAATAAAACAYGTAGTTTTAACAGAGGACAGGAGCTAAAAATTTTACYATAGAAACAGTGGTGAGCARCTGAAAGGAAGRGGGCATTTAAAGCTCACTCTTAATCTTAGTTTTTCTGTTGCCAATATCAATATACTGTGTTTTATATAAGACAGAAATGGCAGGATTTATGGTCTGTCTKCATGGCTGTAGGTGTCCCACGTGTGTGCAATGTGACAGTCAGAAAGTACTGGGATGCCATGGAAGGGCCTGGTTTAAGGTWTGGGGGCCTGCTCCATTAGATTTTCACCTTTTTGTATGTAAAATGTTTGTGAGAGGCAGTTCTAATCTTCATTTAACTGAACTTCTAGGGAGCAGTGACTTCCTTTTGTCTGAGTTCACACCTAGAGAGGAAGAATGCTCTTCCAAGTCTGCCTGTGACTGCAAGTTACTGTGTGACTGTTCWGTACAAGAAAGGGAAGGGAATCCCTGCCATCTCCTGTGCAATTGCTTCATCCTGTATAAAATCCACATCTTGGGTTGATGTTTTTAGTGTGTTGCATGAATTTTTCATGGGCAGTGCTATTTATAATCTTTTTACTGAGCCTATTTGGGTTTTGGTTAAAACAAAAGAAACTGGATGGTGAATTTTGTTTGAAAGGGTCTGAACAAGGTTTGCTGTGCTCTTTGATACTTGCAGCCACGAGGCTTTGTAGCTGCACAGAGACTGTCATTCATTTCCAGTGTCCTTTGGAACAGACTCATTTCTGCTTTGCAGATGGACCTACTCCTGCCCTGAGGGCTCCTGAGGGACTGCGAGCAATGGGATGGAGCTSTGCTCAAGCAAATAGGATAAAAAAATGGAACTTATGTGTTGATCACATTGGACTTTTTTTCCCAGTTAGTTTTCCCTGTTTCCACTAGGTTATTTTATCTTTTTGGTTCATGAGAAGCATTTTAAGATTAAAGGAGGCTTTTWAAAATACCTGTGTCCATACATTCTTGTGCTAGTGACTGCATTCCATACTATTGATGGTCTCCTAAGTTCTTTTCTGTTACTTGCTCCCAACATGCACCTGRTGTGTTAAACATCTTCTGAGACAGACTTCTGTCCCACAGAGGAGCTGATGTTCTCTTCCTTAGATTTCAGGTTGCCATAAACATGCAGAATTATTTCTCTTTCACTCTTTCAATAATAAGCATCTCTTTGTGTATTTTTTTTAAGTAGTATATTTTAGGGTGATGCTTTTCTCCTCTGGATATCAATGAGAATGTTTAACTAACAGGACCATTTTCAGTAAATGCTGCAGAGGGTTGGAAACCTTGTGCCTGTTCTGTGTGTAGGTTTCAGTGTGACACCCACATGAGCTGGGARGATGTGCTTGTGATTGTTTTTCCTGCAACGGGAACATTGCTTGACCTTTGGGTTTTTTCTTTTCCCCATCAATTCGTGTTGKCACATTTGTATGTCAAAATAGAATTAATAGAGTTTTGCCACAAATTCCAAATGTGTCCGTGTCTGTGCAGGTGACAGCTGTGTGTGGTCAGGAAATAACTTCCCATTCTGGGACATATGCTTGGGTAAAGGTATTCTTCCTTCTTTTCTTTTTGGATTTCTTTTGCTTTTTTGCTTTGACCAAGTCATCATACTGTTTGACAGTATGTTAAAGAAAAAGAACCTTTGAAGTACTGAAATGACTGGCCTATTAGTAACTCTTAGTAAGCTGTTTGTGTAATGACAAGTTTCACATTACTGTGCAGCTCCTATAACCAGCCAGTGGTGACTGGACTCACTGGTCCCACTGTTTCATCACAGCTTTAGCTGGTAACAGATGTGTTGTGGTTTGGTTTTCTCCTGCTCTGTGTGATGATAAATTACAATTAACTCAGTTTGTGTGCAAAGGTTGATAAATTAGTGGTCCATGGGTAGCTCACTGTRGGCATCATCCTGCAGCACTGAAGTCAAAGGCACAACGCTGACCTCGGAGGGGGTTGAGCTTTGGGTTTTGCTGTTTCTTGGACTAGATGACTAAATCCACTTCCCATGGGCTCCTTCTCCGGGTTTCAGTGGATGTTGACTTGGTGGTTACCAATTGCTGTCTTTTGTCTTCATTTGGAGTTGCAATGTAATTTTTAATGCTCCAGCTCTGGAAAAAATATGAAGAAGAAATGATAAAACCCTCCAGGTCAGGCYAAGGTTCTTTTTGTCAATATTGTGTCTCCACAACTGATCAAYAGCACAAAGGTGGAAGAGCAGGGCAGTTACCTCCCAGAAGACTCACTTGATTTCCAGTAATTCATAGCTTTATGCTTCCCCGAGCTGGAGGCAGTGTTTTTATGTTCAGTTGCCTTTCATAAACGTTGTCATCTTTTTCTCCCTTTCCTTYCTGTTCTCTTATACTGGAAGTTAAAATGCTGGCATTTTAATGCAGCCCYGTGCTCCATTCCCAGTAATTCCTTGCAGTTGCTTTTGCTTTTTCACTGTTGCAGAGCAGTGATTTGGTATWTTCATAGTGCTTGCTATCATCTTGCCAGATTCCAATTCCTGCATGATAATGCCCAACTCAGAGTCCATCTCTGCCCAAAACCACACACACAGAAACACTGAGCTGTGACTTGAGAAGCTGGAGCTGTCCCTGGCTGCTCCCTGCCTTGCCCACACCAGTATCGGGCTGATGTGAGCACTGAATTGATGTGGTTTCTTCTAGGGGCTCTTTACAAACCTGGGGCCTCTTGGGAATCTGCAGGCACTCTGGTGATAATGTATTAAAAATAAAGACCGTGCACATTTAATACCTCAGTTGTTTAATCCTTGAGTTTCTTTGTAGGTATCATCTACTCGACAAGCTGCTGCTGTTTGGGAATAGGGAACAGTGGTTCGGGTTTGTTGTTTTTTGGTTTGCTTTGGTTTGGGTTTTTTCACTATTGTCCTCTAACCACTTTTGTCAGGGCTTTAACTTCAGGAAAAAAATCCTTGAGTGTCCTCTATGAAGCTTTTCTGACATGGGAATCTTTCCAAACTTCTTGTTTGTTTGTGAACATCTGAGCCTTATCTTCTCTGAATGCTTTTTTTTTGTTTCATTTTTTTGTGTTTTCGGTTTTTATTAACAGTTGGATGACCTGTTGACCTTTAAGATTCTGTTATGCTGTTGGTGACCCTAGTTTCTTTGAAAATACAATATTATGGTGCCTTTATGCCTTTTGGAAGTTGTTTCTTAGACACTTTCACTTGTGTACTGATTGCCTTTTTTAATTTATAGTTTGACAGATCTTTATTTTCTTTATGTTGGCTGTTTATTAGTAGGCTGTATAAATAATAAAAACATAGGAGTGGAATAAAAATGGATAAAAATCCTCATTACAATCCTGTACAAACACAAATCTAATATTAGCCACCAAAACTAATATTTTTAAAGTCATGCTTAGATAGCCCACTGTTATAATCAAGATCTTCTAGATCACTGAACTGATAGGAATTTGTAATTAAATACCAGAAAGTACAATTTGTGAAGTGCTGAGTGAATCTTAATAACAATATATTGTGCTATAGATACAGAGAAGATGGTTTTTTTTCGATTTGCTAGTTTAATTTGACTTGAGAAAGTAATTGAAAGTTGGAACTGAGAAAGTGAGAAAATGGAGAAGTTACTCCAGCTCTCTATCAGTTATTGTTGGCTTGCTCTCTATCAGTTATTGTTAGTATTAGAAGAGATGTGTCGTGTGTTAAAGGAAACTGGCTGTGTGATGGTTATTTTTTGTGTCCTGCTTGGTAGTGAAGGGGTTGGGAGTTCTGGTGCAGCCCTGCTTGGTAGCAGACGGTGAAGCTGTCATGTTATTTGGARCATGAGTGGGGAATTTTTAAAACAGATTTGAAAATTACTTCAAAGTAAATTCTGCTGGGCTGACTGTCTCCTAGACACAGGTTTAAGTTCCATTCTGCTTTAAACAGCACTTTRTATTT